TGCAGAGAGAGGAAGGCTGCGGTGCACGCGTTGCGTTTGTGTGTGTGTGTGTGTGTGTCGTTTTCCGGATGCGCCTGTGCCTTCTTTCCTCCCTATTTGTTCGCTGCCATTTTTTGTGTCTCGGCGGCGGGGCCCCGGCGCAACGCCGAGGGAAGAGCGTGGTGGACGCGAGACAACCTCGGGTAGGGGGAGGAGGCGGTGGGGAGGCGAAGGTCGGAGGATTTCTGCGTCAATACCCAGCGAGGGCGAGAGGAAGAAGAGGGGCATGTCGATGCTGTCCCCCGCAGAGGGAGGCGACGCTTCACTTCGCCCAACGCCCGCCGCTGCTGCCACCCGCGTCAATGTTGTGCCACTGATCCATCCGCGCCACCAGAAGAAGCAGCGGTCGTATCGTCACATTGCGGTGACGGACTCGGCAACGGACCATCTCTCGGCCACCACGGCGCTGCGGGAACACACAAAGGAGCTTCTCACTGTTCGTAATGGCGCAATGAATTATGAACAGGAAATGTACTTTCACCCGCATGAGCTATACAAACATGGAAAACACCGGATACACACCAGCAGTGTGGGATACAGCAGCGGGGGCGATCTTGTGCTCACACGCGAGGCTGTCTCGGAGCCAAGCGATGTGGATATGGGTTTTCTGCGCCGCCGAGTTGAAATTGATAAGGCCATCTGTTTGGACCCCAAAGCCCGTCGACCCCTGTCCGAGGAAGAAGCGAAGAAAAAGTTGCGCCTCAACGCCCCCAGGTATCGCAAGTATCCCGGTATTCGTGTCCCACGCAACCGCAAGGAACGCAATCGTCTTTTGAATGACTACTTTGTTAATGAATACGCACGCAAAATCATGGACAAATACCGCGAGCGACAGGCGAAGGGGGAGGGAAAAAGCGATACAACACCTATTGTGCGCCCTGCTTTCGGAAATCTTCCGCCGGTTTTCTACAGGATGCTCGACCTTGACGAAGATGCCCAGACGCGTGCCCTTGAGCGGTGTGGGGTCGACATGCGGCCATCTTCAAACTATGTGCCTAAGGACCCCGATTCGGGAGAGGCACGCTTCCAATGTATGAATTTGCGCCTGAGGTCAGAGTTGGTGCATGCACTGAGCAGCGAATTTCTTACGCGGCAGATTGACGACTTGGAACGTGCCTTTGCCGCCTTTATTACAGAAGGAAATGTGAATAACCCACTCGTGTACAAGTTTCGTGATGGGTACGGTCGTCTCGTGTGCCACGGTGTTGCGGCTTACTATAATCTCGTCTCGGAGTCGCAGCAGCAGCCCGATGGTTCCAAGGTAACCGTGGTAAGTTGGCCAAAAAGGAAGAAACATGCCTCTGTGCAACTTACCTTACCCCGGGTATCTCTTATGAATATGCTTCGAAAGAAGCGTGGTGAGATGCCGATTGCGTCTGCAGCGTCTACACCGCAGAACACACCGCATGCATGTGCTGCGGATCCGGATCTTTTGCCCCCAGCATTGAATCTGGACTCCACCCCGATGGAACATGAATTGCCCGCTGGCGTAACGCCTACTCCGGAGCAAGGGAATTCAACAAGCGACGGAACGCCTCGTGCCCTTGCGGTTTATGAGCCATTGTTTGGGGGATTGGCCGAGGGCACAACGACGACAGCCACCCAAAAGAAGAAGATGCGTAGGGCGACAAAGCTGGCCCAGCAGGACAAGGAAGAGCTCTTCAATGAAGCCGC